CTTACCGTTGTAGCTGTGGTTGAAGCCTAAAAAATATTTCACTGCGGAAATGTGAAAACTTGAATAAGATGAGACAAATGCACTTTTGTATGGGGGTATATTATTGATATTACTGAAATGCCATATATATATACCAACCCATAGAATACACCCTATATATACATATAATACCACAATGTATATAATACAGATAACTTACTGTATATATATTTTTTCTTGTGCTTTGATTTAATGTACACCTACATTTGCTTAGTAAATGTGATTAGAAAAAAAATGGCATCTAGCTGCCCCAAAATCTGTGTATTCTTTTGTTTTTCCTTCAGCTGCGAACCTGAGTCATTTCAGAAAAAGGTACATGTGAAGTGCCCTCTGGAGACATGTATTTATTCTCCCAGTAAATGATCACTTCTGGGGACAACCATGCTTTATTTACTCAGAAAACCAGTCAAGCACTGAGAAAATAATTTCATATGAGTAGAAAGGAAGCAGTTTTATGCACCAGTAATTTTGAAATAAAACTGTGGTTGTCAGTTTTGTGGTTATAAGCATTAACTGGCCTTTAAATGCACATTTGTAATTATTTACATTGTTGGCAATAAATCATAAAGTCCAGTTGTTGCATATCTCTTTGACTTATTTTATGCCTACTTAATATGTTTTATGCCTCATAAACCATGGCTGCACTTAAATGTTTATCAATTTTTTATTTTGTTTTTGGGACTTATTATGATTTATAAAGTGTTGGTTTATGATGTATTTTGCAATGTTTCTACCCTGTTTGTAATGCGGTGACCCTTTACAAATTACAGAAAGAAAATGTATTGCAATTAATTTTCATAATTACAGAGAAAATATGTGAAATGAAGAAAACAATGTGATTTACACTCCATTTGCTAAATTGACAGACACCTGAGCAGAACCACTTAATTACATTTTGTAGCACTACAGTGCATGTCAACTGAAACCTTTCACATTCCCTAAATTTTTGATGTTTTCAAAGGACAAGCAAAATTATTTTAAAATGAAAAGGCAAAGGTTTTTATTTCTTTTACCTCTGAAGAAAGCATTGGTAATGGCACATGATCACGACTATGATACTTTTGCATTAAAAACAGTCATGTGATCTCCTGAATTCTAGCAATTATACATAATCAAGTCAAATATATACACAAAAATTTTGAGGTCAGCATAAAACTACTTGAAAAGATACCTGTTATTTTTTTCTTCTTAAGTACCAGCTTGGAGGTTCTGCTGTGGCCGTGTAACAGATCTCCCTGGGTGGTAGTCTAATGTGAAGGAAATCTGCTACATTTAACCCCCTTTTTTACCTCACTTATGCGATACCAGGATTGTTGTTTTTAACAGTGTTTTGATGTTTAATCAGTCTGTGACTGCATACCTTCTTAACCTTGTTCTTGTTTAAGTCATGAGCAGTATTGGGAAATACCTCTTTCTGGCCAGTCTTGTTTCTCTAACATCTTTGTTAACTGTTGAGCTGCACAGAAATGACCAAAACTACAACTCTTATTAGCTTCCCTGCTCTCAACAACCATAACTGTCTGTGTCTAGGAGTCCCCAACTTCTAGACACCTCACTCTTAACCTTGGGATTAACTGACCTTCAACTACCAAATGAGTGTCTCACATGAGACATGTCTCACTCAACCGGAGCAGACATGGACAGATATGTCACTATTAGCCATTGTTCTTTTGCTCAGACAGCCCCTCCTTAGAACAGGCATTGTAACATTGTTCAATCTCCTCCAGGACTGTGCCAAAATTTGCCCGTCAGGGTTAAAATGTTACCTTCGAGACCTGGTCTCTCACTGTCACCATGACAATGGAGTCTAAGACCCCATAAACCGACCCTTGGAGTCTTACCCATGAGGCTCTGTATCTTGCTGCCAAACCTGCCAGTGAGAGTGTGACTCTCATTTAGTCGACTTCGACTGTTTCCCTACTGAACCTTTATGCAGGTGGGCAGCTCTCTAATAGTCTTGTGAGTATGCGATCTTAACAAAGTGCCTCACTAGTGCCCTCTGGTACCTTAACCCTTTAACTGACACTCCAGATCCTATAACCTTCTTACAGGGAGTTACATTATCTTAAAAAATATACCTTGAGTACCAAAACAAGACACCTAGGTGAACAAGCTTATCTGAGACTGATAAGCTACTACCATATCAAACCAACACAATGGGTTAAAAGGCTTTCTTTTGCTTGTGCCATTTCTTGTATTCCTATTGCAATGGAGCAGCTATTGTATGTCTCAGAGCTGTGGATATGCAGCTCAGAGACCAGCCAAAGAGCAGAAACATGAACATGAGAGTATGAAGCAGAGAGACAGGCTATGTTCAGGCTTTTCTCTCTATAAGAAGGTCAAAACACGGAAATTAGGTGTCTCATCGGCTAGTCTTGAAGTCCGACAAGGTTTCAGTTAGGTGAGAGAAAATGTTAAATTTTCCTTAGGGCTTTAAAGGGAAAAGGCAGGTGTGTTTATCCTTCCATAGGTTTAAAGACGAAAAAACATGGTTCACTTTCCCCTACTGTTATGGCAAGAAAGGTGAAGCACAGTACAACTCCCCCATACCCTAACATTAGGTTTATGGAAGAATTCAGTGAGGATAAACAGGTTACCGACAAGTCAGTTTGGGAAGACTTTTGTACAAAGGTTGGTCTTGCCTCAGCCCAGGTTATACAGATTTATAGTTCAGGCTATATCAAATAGAGTGCAGGTGCTTTATAATATGGGGCACATTTGTAGGTCCTCTATGCCATTCTACTATATTAAAGGGGGCACACTTATTTTTGCAATTTAAGGGATTATCCCAATTAAAAAATTGCAATGAGCCCTGACAGCCTTTGGGAAACAACAAAATTGCTAAAAGACACAACACAAGTAACTTCAACAGTAATTCTTACACTTTGGTTTGAGGATGCTGCCATTGTCGGTGCTATAACTACATTAATTGAAGACATGGGTTTATTTAGATCTTTGCAAGTGTATCCAATGCAGCTGTGAAATTTAACAAAAAAACAGGCAAAAACGTCCGCATTAAAATGACAAAAAAAGCTTTTGAAAAACACAGCCACTTCAGCTTCAAATCACAGCTTCATGATGACGTTGGAGACAGAGATAAACAGCAAAAGCCTCATGGGTTTTCTCATTAAAATTTTGCATTAGACAGAAGTTGCAGAAATAAACAACAAATCAGCTATCAAATCAGATAACAATTTCTGTGTTTAAGAAGAAAATGAGTTAACTTTTCATGATCTTTGTTCTTTTACACCATTATTTATAAACATCCTTCTTCACTGAATTGAAGTTGAAGAAAAAAAAAGTAAAATCTCTGTGCATCTAGAATATGTTTCAGTGTTATAATTATTTGTGAAGAAAGAGACCTTCCAATTAATTTTTTATTATGCAAATCGTACAGTCTTGCCAGAGGAAATTGTTCCTGTGAGGGCACTGAGCTTTTTTCTTACAATAGTAGAGTCCTTACTGAAATTTAAAGACAGTATCTGGGGTAGCTAAGTCCTAAAAGGCAACACCTGTACAATTTTGTGTATGAACTGTTAACTATTAACTGGTATTGCTTTATACAGTATGTGGCTATATTTGTAAAGATCATTCAAAATCCCCATAGTATATTAAAGAAACAGAGATCTCTTCATTATGCTTATGACAAGCACAATGCCAATTACAACACAATATGATGGTTTTAATTACTGGAAAGCAGCACCAGATGTCAAAATAATGTAAATTGTGAGACACTTTTTTCAGTTTGCAACAAAGGGAATTGCCTGAGTTTTTTTTTCTCAGCTATCAATGTCCCCTGATTACCATTTCCCCTAGCATGTACATATCCAAACACACTCTTGGTCTGCATTTTAAAATCTATACAGTTGCTCAGAAAAAAACAGGTCTATACCTGCAGTATACGTGAGGAAAGGCAAATAACAACTCAAGATCTTAAGAAATAGTTTGTTCTTTCATTTTTAAATTTTGTGTAGGCCGTGCCGGCATGGCTTATTGTGACATTCAGTATTGGAACAAACAAGGGTTTTTGATTTAGAAATGGCATTCAGTAATTCACCTACAGTACAGTGGGTGCAGTCAAAGCATAACGCTATTTATTGTCTTTGATTCTGCATGTTGCAAATTTAGGGGAGATCCATGATCTATAGCTATTGATTGTTTCCCATTCATAATGTATATAATCAACTCTAAATTTAAATTGTAAACTTTTGAAAGAACTGCTGGAGAAACTGATGCTCTTTGCTTTCTGTAGCAAAGAGAATGCACTCTGTTGCATCTGACCAGAGAACAAACACAGAACAAAATATTTGGACTATAGAAGCACTTTACCAGGATACATATGGCAATGCTGATTTCTTTCAAGAATTACTGGGATACAGTTTGAATTTTCAGATAATAGCAGGGAATTCCTTTGAGGCAAAGAATTTTTATTTGGTTTAGTGCAAAGATAAAGCCACTTTGGTATTTTGATTCCTACTGAAGGTTTTCACAGTAGCTTCAGTCCATTTTAATTCCATTCTATTTGACAAACAACGCAGAAAATTATTTCTTGCTTTACTGCAGAAGGCTACTGCAGCAGCCTGTTCCTTTGAAAAACAAATCTGTTTTCTCCACTCTTACTCAGTTGCTACAAGGCTTTAAGTATGTTGTTCAAGAGATACTATAGATACATTTGTTTTGAATGCCTTCTTGAATAATTGTAGCAAAACTGATAACATGCATTTAGCTTATACAGTATTTTCAAACATCTTCGTTATTAAGGAATGTAAGAGCATGTTAATTTTTTAAAAGCAGATCAGTGTAACTGTAGGTCTTCGACATTTAGCTAAAATTACCAGTTCAGTGTGTGATTCTACATGTTATTTTCTCCATTTTTACAAAAGAAACTTTACTAACATAAGTACTCTAAAATTAAAATACAGCCTTTTTTGTGTTGTAACTGTGTGATTCAGAATACTCACAGCTTTCTATCTCCAACGTACAGTTCTGCTCATCCAAAGGGTACCTTCGGAGATCCATCATGCAGGCTGCTGTTGTAGTTATTCTGAAACAATAGGGAACAATGTATGTACTTAATATATTTTACCTCCAATTACATTATAACATTAATTTTCTTTTTTATAACATTAATCATCCTTAACGAGAATCTGCTGTTCTACGCTGTCATATTTGTTTAATGGAGTTTGTGCAATCATTTGTTTACTGTATTTGAGAAGAATTTTTTTGATTCTTTTCAAATACAGAAGATGTCCTGTATCAAATTGAGTATGAATTCATTGTGCCACTCTTTTTATTTTCTTTTTCATACTAAAAACATGAAGAACAGAGATTCAACAAAAACCCAGAAGAGTGTGAAGATAATGAATAAGAATAATTTTAATGAGCCGTAGGCTATTTTTTCCTAATGAATCCTATTGAATGTGATAGAAGGGCAAAACATAGTACTGTAGAGAGTATTTAGTGTTACTCCTCTAGCTGACGGATTGGCAGCCTAGCTGTGAGGATAAGACTGCCCAAGCCCCCCTCACTATTCTGAAGATTGAGCCAGGGAGCTGCTACAAGGGTGTAGAGGGGGTGGGGGAATGCAATAGGGTTATGCAAATAGGAGTTCTGGGTGAAAGACTTATTTACATAAGCAAGCAGAAGTGTGCAAGATTAGATTTAAGCTTCCTCCTGAACTTCTGTTACAAACTCCATTAAATGTCTTAAGTATTCACCTCGAATCATTTTTTGTGTACTGCATTGCATTTTCTGTGGTGTACTAATTAATTAGATGATATAAAAACTAATTATATAGTACAAAATAAAAAAAAACAGCATTGGAAAATACATTAAATACAAAATGCTTCCAAAATCCAAAGTCTGATAAATAAAAATAACAGCTTTAACAGTTTACTAAGCTTTGCATAATTCTGCATTTGTGGACACAGTGAGTGATTTGGATTAAAAAAATCAAATCAAATCCTTGTCCTAGTTTATTCCTTCTATAAATCACTGTCCCTACACCAGCTACCCAGAGCTCTCACTACTTCAGAATTCAATCAGCATAATGTTACAGGGGGAGGTGAGAAATTAGGGCAAGAAAGCAGAATAAAAATAACACTATCCATGTATTTATAGAAGCCTTACAGTACATCACTGGGTAAGTCTCACGGCTTTGTTTAAAAAAAATGGTCACTTCAGGTTTTGCTAGACCCAGTATGCTTCTTTTATAGGAGGCAGAGAAACATACGCTCAAAAGCATGTTCTAAAAACATGAATTAAAGTATGATTTGACTTCTACCTACTTGGCTTGAGTGCCACCAACCTGGCCAGTGGGCCAAAGGACGGCTACACTAGTTGCAGCAGTGGAATTGGTATTTGAGCAAAGGATGATAGGAAAGTCAGACTTAAAGTTTTAAATGTATACCCTCAAGCAGGAGTCTTTCTCCCAAACTTTAGCTCAATTAAATGTTAGCACCTGCACATTTTAAGCAATTAAACCAATTAAACCGTATCATTTCTGTAAAACAGTCCATGATTTAAAAAAATATTTACCTAAGAGACAATCACAGTTGTTCTAGAAGTGAAACAGTTCAGCTGGGAAGAATTCCTAAATGGTGTGAAATTAAAGTGAAGCATACTGTATGTAACTGTATTTGAACTCCATTTACCGTAAAGTGAGTTATCTCACTTGTGCGTCATCACTAGACTGGTGCAATGCTGTCACTTTTACATTTTGAATATAGTGCTTCTGTAGCATGGGCCAACTTCACACAACCTTGATAAAACCTCATTCTGTGCTGTTCAGAGAGAATCATCAGAAATGGTGAAGCTCGCATAAAGATCACCATTTGCATCGTTACGTATTTAATTAGCATAACCCTTCTTGGACTGTGCTTACTGAGGCACTTCAAAAATTGTGTATGTATGCGTGGGGTGGAGGGTGTTGCTGTTTATATTTTTCTTGAAAGATTGAAACAAAAAGAACAACAGGCAGCAATTTTGTTCCAATATCTTGTTACAGTAACTTGTTTTCCTCCTTAACTAAGAGAGAAGCCTATAATTTTGTCATGTGCAAAAATTACAGCATTCAAAGAAAGTAGAATTAGTTGTCCACTTTTTGAAGTGAGAATAATCACAGTCAAAGAGATTGCACAGATGCTTGCTAATTGAACAAATAAAACACATTAGCTGTAGACCTACAGTACCTTATTCATTCCCCCCAATAACTGAAACTACTGTACTATTCTGTTATGACCAGAATTCTTAATACATAAATAAATTTTTCCTTGATTGACACAACATACAGACAATTTTAAAGGGGCAAGAATGTTTTATGAAGAACAGAAATCTTGTATTTTTTAAATATTCACACCCTAGTCAATACTTTATAGAAGCACCTTTTACAGCAATTTCAAAAGCTTTAAGTCTTCTTTGGTGCATCTGTAGCAGCTTTGCACATCACGATTTGGGGATTTTCTCCCCTTCCTTACAGATTTTCTCCAGTTCTCTTAAGTTAATGACGGTGAGCAATGTTGAACTGCAATTTCTACAGGTCTTTCCACAGATCCTCAATGGGATTGAAGGCTGGACTTTGGCTTTGTCATTCAGGTACATTCACTTTTTTGTTCTGATGCCACTCCATCTATGCCTAGAGTCATTGTTTTGTTGGAACGTGAAGCTTTTGCCTCAGTCTACAGTGACTTTAGTTGAGTGAAGCAGGTTCTCCTCAAGGGTTTGCCTGTTCCCTCTATCTCTTTCCAGTGAAAACTGATACAGTATACAGTATGTTTTTATACCCCTTCTCTTATTTATGCTGCCTCACAATACTATCACCAGAGCCGTCTCAGAAGGGGAGGGGGGCACGCCAGCCACCCCCAATCCCGCTTCACACATGCATAAAAATATAAAAACATGTTTAAATAGTTTTAAAACACACAAAACTCTTTTAACTCAAGATGAAATCTAAAGTTACTGGGAGAGAAGATGCTTTATTCAGAACTGGAGGCCTGTTCTGCATTAAATACATCATAGGCCAGCAGTTGCCAGCTAAAAGCTATTGTGGCGTAACTTAACTAGCTTGGAATTTTTTTCCGAAAATACTACAGTGGGTGTGAGTAAAGAAAAAGGTAGCAGAAGAGGCAGGATGCAAATATGGCACTTAAAGGGTCTTTGGAAACGTTTGTGGTAAAAACCAGGAGCGAAGAAGAAACGGACATGGGTGAGGACCTTAGCATCGAGACACCTGAAGGTACCGATAGCATTATCAACAACGGCGATTAGGAGTTCAGTTAGTTTCTGTATGCCTATTTGTGCAGGCCAGTCAGGTAGCTATTTCATCACCTCAATGTTGCTCCCCGCCATCATCACTACACAACAAGAACCCCCCCACCCCTGTGACACCAATCCCGCCCTGGGCCCTGCCTTCCCCTTGAGACAGCCCTGACTAACACAATATTATCACGGTCAAAACAGCTATGTACTGTATGTAAGGGCAGAGTTTTGGTCTAGACGGTAGAGTTTCTGCTCTGATATCCATATCTGAGACATTTTATACTGACAGCTGTAATTTCTTGTGAAGATATGTCAACCAGTTAAACTGGTCATAGATGGACTCTGTTCAGGTTTTAGAGTGATCTCACAAAAAACTTTGATGCACTTGGGCTCAATTTGGGGTTATTTATTAAATCAAGACTTTCGGTGTTTTCCTAATGTAATTCCTAATGCTTTGACATTATTGAGTAATTTGTGTAGATCAGTGACAAAAATTCCATATGACAAAAAAAAAAATCCAGTACAGAATACTTTTCACCAGCAATGTATCTGTCAGAAAGTAAAAAGACAGTTTTCTTCTTTTACTTCAATAAACATGTGACAGAATCCTTCTATTTTCAATAGTGACCTTTTTCATTTAGTATTTCTTTAACAAACTGCAGAATTTAAGTGCAGTCTTTATGCATAATATTCTAATAGGCTCTGGCCCCAGCCCTCCTCCACCACAGGTAGTATGCTTTAAGATTCCTCAATGATGACTCTTGCCTTAAGGTAGAGACAGCTGTTTCTCTATACATAAACAACATAAAACATGAATAACTGAATGTGAAAACTGACACTATTTAATCTGATTTATATGTAAATAATGGGCAGCTTAAATGTGCTGTTGTAAAATACATTTACGGTAAATCATATCTGACCACATTTAAGCAGCATGATGTACATTTAGCCATGCCTTTAGAAATATCTGTCTCTTCATCTCCACTAGTACCACTCTTTAATTTTATTTAGAAGAACCGTGCACAATGTAACCTATTACTTTTGTATTAGTAAAAAATCCCATTAAAGAGAAAACAAATGTCTTCATGTATTTTTAAAAGCCAGATGACAGCAGTAGCAAACTAATATACTCTTTCATTACAAGAGGGATCCCAAACACTTCACAATAATCTCCAAAGAAGTCCACAATATCACACTCGTTTGTATCACACAATGAGTTAATAATTGCTTGAATTTGCATTGCTATTTTTTATCCAAAGGTTTTTTAAAGGGGATGTATGTGCTAAAGGAGTTTTACTGCCAAAACATGTTTTTCCAGACTTTTCAAACTATTTCACTAGTTCATCTGAGGCTCATTGAATCCTCCCATAGGGGACAGTGTACCTTTATTCCAAATGACAATCTCATTGTCTACTGATGCTTAAATTACTCCAGAGTAGGCCCCAGACATAGTGAAGTTTCACAAAGATTTATAGGCTCTACACGAAAAAGTTTTTGGTCTTCACAGACAAGGCATCATGACATAGCTAAGTAAAATCAGCAAACGTCATGTTTTTTTTAAGTTGATTGGATATTTACTTCTATTTAAATGCTGCATTTATTAAACTTTTATTGCATACATTGTATGTAACATAATATGTTTATTGGATATAATAATTATGAAATGGGATCAAATAAAAGATGTGTTCATATAATTTTAAAGCAAGATTTTAAAATGCTTTACTAACAAGACGAAGGCTAAAACTGAACTTAGAAACAAAAGAAAGTACACAATGCAGACAATATTTTTAAACAGATGTTTGCCATGTCCTACATGTGATTGTCATGCTAGAAAAGAGAATATATTATACAAATCTGGCTGCCAGTATGACATCAACAGCTGCCTTCCTCCATCAGATGGGAAGAGCAGATGAGCAGATAATAGTGAGTGTACACTACTGAAACACCCCTGAACAGTATGTATAATTATAATAATAATAATAATAATAATAATAATAAAAATAATTACTATTATTATGATGATGAAGTAACCAGATAATTGAAAAAAAAAACAAAGACTACTGGGAGAGTATCTATTTATGCAACAGGGTATTTTACTGCAGAAATCTGATTGAACCCAAACCCAAACCCAAACCCTAACCCTAATTACCTTAATTCAACATTACGTACACCACACTGAGCATCTGAGCAGATAGCGTTTTTAGTTCCAAGTCCTGAAAAGACTTAGGATCTGTAACGATCCTTAACCAATACTCCACACTGCAGCTATGGTTTGTTTAGCTTCTGTCATTATAGTACTGTACTTTACAACCTCAAGATTGAAATCTGGAGATGTGCCTACGGGTACCAAGGAGCTTATGAAGCAGGGAAGCATCTGCTGAAGCCAGATGTTCACCAGATTATCAACAGTTCGCAGAACTCTGCTGGCTCAGAGAGTGTTAGTGACAACCAGGCATCCCACAAAGGACTTGTGACGTTTGTCAGTCATCATTTACAGTACCTTACCTAGTCTTCAGCAGTGTGAGTGTCTGACACCTTTAATGTAACAGAAAGTATAGTTTATTTTCTCCAGTTTGAGCACAGCAAAGTTACGCACATTCGATTAGCACTTGAATTGGGTATTGTCTGTTTTGCAGACAATAAAAAAGCATATCTGACTTTTAGATTTTTGTATACTGGAACTTTCTGTTGAGTTCCAGTGCTTTTAATGGTTTATGGAATTCAATAAATTCCCTAATAACTCTTTACAAAATTGAATCACGTTAGATTCAAAATACATCTGTTTATAATCCGTAATACTGTACAGTATAATATATGTTCGATTTTTAATCCTGTACTTCAGATAAAAAAGAACAAAACATTTCTTGTTTCCCATCCACTTATTTTGATGTTCCCTTAATGAATTTTAAGCCCTTCCCCAAGTCAGTTTTTCTTCAATTCAAATTTCTCTCTTTATAGCCTATTGCCAAAGACAGAGATTCTTGTTTGTGTTATTTTTTCTAGGCATTAAACTAATTAACAGGCCTGTTCCTCCAAATATTTAACCAACATCAAGTTTTAAGAGTTTCCAACCGAGGATTATGGCAGGCCACAGACTATACTGGAAGAACAGGGTGCAAGGTGATATTGAGCGCACATGAGGGCTTTCTCCCTAGATAGGACACTACTTCCATCACATGGACACAGTTCAGACTTCAGTCAAACCTGGACAGCATGTCCCTGGAACAGTGACAGTAAAGTGGAGCGCTCCAAGAAAATCCACATGATCATGGGGAATACGTTCACTCAGACAGACACCAGGGCCCAGAATCAAACCTTGGAGCTGGGAAGCATCTGTCCAAACCATGCCAACATGCTGTTTATGTAGCTTTAAAAACAGAAGTATTGCAAAGACTTTATTTGTGACCATGATAATACCATTGCTGAAGTTGAATGCTTTTTTATTTTAATTCATCGTGCACAACAAACCATTGTTAGAGCTGCCAGTTTTAATGATTGCTGTGCAATTCCTATAACAGCTTATTGCATTTTCAGCTTCTGCAAGAAAAATATGAAAATATGATATGAAGTTATCCAGGCCTTAACCGTGGTAAGCTCTGGGTTCTTGGGTTAAGAATGTTATAACCTGGTGCAGCTAAATTGTTTTCTTTTCCATCAGCGTGTGTAAGTTCCAGACTGTTAAACAATTGCCTTCAGTCCTCTGGATGAGTCAGTAAATTGATTCCTGAGACATTAGTAATAGAAGATGTTTGAAAAAAAAGGAATTTATATTTATAAGAATGAATCATGACTGCACAGAAAAATATAAATGTGAAATTTTAGGAGTGAAAATAAGAGTGATTAAGTGGTGTTAAGTCCTGGACACTTTGATCAAGGCCAACTACCTATAGAAAGGAAGAGCTATACTCATGCTTAAATGAATGTGAACTTGGAACTAGTGTCGTTCCAAGAAAACCCCAGGGTGACAGACCATTACAGAAAATGAATAAACAGCCCTGGAGAAAACAGGCATTTCTTTGACTTCTGCTCTCCACTTTCAACTGCTTCCTCTGCCCAGAGCTGACCTGTTGTCAGTGATTCAACAGGAGAATTACCGTGTCTAATTATAGATTGAAGATATCTACAGTGGTAATATAATCCGATTGAATTAAAGAACTATGTCCTGATGATTTAGCAAGGTGTGCAAATTGCAAATCACTGAAATCTTAGTTAAAGTTTGAGTAGGTTCTGATATAATCAGATTGCCAGTAAAGTCAGAATGAAAAAATGCAGAGTGTTTTTTTTAAATAATATACTGCAGGCAATATAATCTCAGAGGAGAGGAAGTACTTTTAGCCTCAGAAGTCTATTTAGAAGCATGCTCACATTTTATGCTCCGTTTTTCTGTTTGTCACTATTCATTTCGTGATGCTATATCAGCTGCAGGTGATATGACTTTTGACTTCAAAGTGTTTAACGATGGAGCAAATTGCCAACAACTGCACTACCTGACCTTTCCATGTCAATAAGAAGGTGACTGAGGAGTTCAGTGGAAGGCCACTGCGTTGAACACACATTCTTAACGGAAGGAGAAAAAGCTTCATAGGTTTGTAACGCATTCATTTTGCCTTATGTGAACTTCAAAACTGAATCTCTCCTTACATAATCACACTTTATTTCCGAACATTTGTATGCAGAGATTGTTCCTGGCAGTTAATTTCAGGTGTAACTCTGATGCCTTGCTCTGGCTGCTAGACGGACATGCTTAAACTTCTATATTGTTAGCTGCTGAAAAGCACTTACACTTGCTACTGAAGTGTAGCTGAAAATGAAATATTATGAAGTTCATAGTTTTCTTGCAACGTTTTGGTGTGCTCAGCCACAGAACAAAAGGTCACTCAGAACATTTCACCCCACAGTCCCAAAAGGACACAGCCTCCAAAACAGTAGGCTTCAGCGAAGTGAGGCAAAGGTCACAGTCACCCAGGAGGGGAAAGGAGAACTGGGGAAAAAGCTGGAGGAAAGGCTAGTCAGCACTGTCAAAGTGTTCTGCAAATTTCACTCCAGGTTTTATATAAGCACAATCCACTTGATAGTGATTAAAGATTGTAATGATGTCGCATGGTGAAAAATAGCTGCGTCTGACTGAGAGCTCACAAGACAACAGCGAGGTAAGGAACACCACAACAAAAGAGAAAAAAAAGGAATCCAAAAAGAAAAGAAAGACACAAAAATAACCAAACCCTTGGGGCTGCAAAACAGTGGTGGCAAAGAACAAAGAAAGCACTGAATATAATTAAGTTAGTGAAAAACATAGAGGAAAACAAAAACTGGCGTAGGAAACTCACAGTAGCTCAGCTAATGAAAGAGCCATGAGTGAAGGGCATAGGAGGAATTTAAAGAAAAATGGAACTAATATTAAATAATTAAATTGGCTGCCCGCTGTAAAAGTCTTCCCAAGCGTGTTCTAACTTGTGTTCCAAGTGTTGTGCTGTCCCGCGTGTGTGTACAGGACCAATCATCTGCGCTTGATCAGGCATCACAGAGCCCCCTTCCCAACAGATGATCTCCGGGTGACAGACTGGACTTCATAGGATGGTGAATATGAAAGGCATTAATCATGCTGGGGGGGCAGAGATCTTGGGTTGGAATCTGTGTTCTCTCCTCAGCTCCACGTTCACTCCAGTGGACCAGATACTGGAGGCTATTCTGGACCCTTCATGAATCTAGGAAGCGTTGGGGTCTCAATTCCTCAGAATACATGAGGAGTTGCTGGAGATCAACACTGGTTTGAGGAGGGAAATATGGAATGTGGGAGATATATGACTCCCTAGGGCTGCAAAAAGGTCCAACTTGTAGGAACCCATGCTAACCCTTTCCAGTACTTTGAAGAGACCGATGTATCAAGGAGCTAGTTTCTGTTCTAAGGCAGAGGTGCTTAGTAGTCTTCCATACTGGCACTGGGAAGGAGACATACTGGTGGACATGTTCTAAAGGATATTTCCAGCAAATTCGGCACATGGGAAATGGGTGGCCCAGTCATTCCGGAAGGAGGAGACGTGACACCACAGGTAAGTTTCCAGGTCTTAATTCACATTTTCAGTGTTCAAACTGTTCATTCCGAACAGTTTATTACAGAAAGCTTAGCAGAACCTGGAAATAAATTGGTGAATCAGGAAACCTGTGGAGTCTAAATACCTCTTGGGTAAAAATGTCTACCATTTGAGGAGCCGAGGGGAGTCTGGGAAGCACAACGAATGGGCTATCTTAGAAAAGGGATCAACAATGGCTAAAATGACAGAATTTCCCCGTGATTGGCATAGGCTGATAATGAAGTCGATGGCTATAGCCTGCCATGGTCTCTCTGGAATCGGAAGAGGTTGGAAGTGACCTGCCGGAGCCTGAAAAGAAAACTTTGCATGCCTGCATTGAAAGCAGGTGGCAACAAAGTTCTCCATGTCCTTACTGAGAGGAGGCCACCAAAAGAACCTCTGAAGGAGTTCTGCGGTCTGAAGGATTTCAGGGTGTCCAGTCATGTGAGACGAATGGGTCCATTTAAGAACCTCGGGTCACGCTGAGGTGGGAGCATCCAGCTGAATAGCACCAAGGATACAGTCTGGAGGATTAATGGTAGCAGGTAGGTTAGGTTCCTTGTGAGGCTCCAATATTCTTGTCAGAGAACTCAGTCTTCCCATTCATACTGCCAGGTCGATAAGAATTGTTAAACTCAAATCTGAAAAAGAAGAGAGACCAATGTGCCTGACAAGGTTTTTGGCTGTTCTCTGATATTGAAGGTGTTTGTGAAAATCCCATGAAGGGGTGTGAGGCTCCTTCCAGGATATGTCTCCACTCTTCAAAAGCCATCTTCACTGCCAGTAGTTCCCTTTCCCCCACATCGTAATAAGGTTTATGGGAGAAGAAGGCACATGGATACAGTTTAGGAGGATTGGGACAAAACCGCTCCTAGTCCCACCTCGAATGCATCAACCTCAAATTCAAAAATCAAGGATCGATCTAAAAGCTGTAGAATGGGTGCTGAAACGAACCTCTTAATCCAATTCACAGTCACAGTTGGAGCTGGAGCCTATCCGAGCAAGCAACAGGAGCAAGGTGGGATACCCCCTGGAAGGGTTGTCAGTCTATCACAGGGCAAACACAGATAAAGACATACTCACACCACGGCAAGTTATTCCATAAGCCAAATAATCTACTTGGATATCTTGGACTGTGGGGAAAAAAAAACTAAAAATCCAACAAACTTATTGAAAACATGTACTATAAACTCTGCTGCAAGGGAGCAATACTATTCACTGTGCCATCATGGTGTTCTAATTGCTCAAATCGATGACTTATTTCATCTTTTGACTTGCTATGTGCTTGTCTACTCATGCATGAAAAGTACCACCATTTAAAATGTTGAATGGTCTATCTGTAGATGTTATGTACAGTACAGTCCTTCAAATCAAGGATTTATTTTATGCTGAGCATCAGAGTAAGCTGATATTAAAATTACTTTGATATTGTCTTATTTTCAGCCTTTATTTTTTACACTAGAAAATAAACAGAAAACACCAGTATATCAATGAATTATCATAAACATATGTGTGCTTTATGAAATTGAATACAACATATACATATTTATTACATTGGGCTAGACACACAATTTGACATATACTAAATGAAAGAAATAATGAAAAACGATATACTGTACATACAAAAATACAAGTAGCTACAGCATGTTATACTCTACGAAAAAATAAGATTATTGATATACATTTCTTGAGATATTCATTTTAAATTCAGTGAGATTTTAAAGCCTGTTGTCACTTTTTATATCTTGGTTTACTACTCCAGCTAATGCTAAACTAGAGAGCACAATGTTGAGAGTCTGGAATATTGCCAGGTTAGGGTTAGAAAAACTATGAAAGTTCATCAGAAAAGGTCATCAAGAGTTTCAGTTGCATTGCTCTTGGAAGTAATGATAGTGTGATTTCAGTTTAAAGCTTATGTGATAACTTTTACATTTGTGTGATACAGGCTTCTGCTTTTGGCAAAACAAACTTTATCACCTAACGCAGCCTACACCACCATATCAAGGAAAAACTAAAATAACACTTACACTACATAATTATTCCCTTTCAGATTGAACACGAAAAACGAGGGATTATAAAGTAACTAGTGAAAGGTAATTATAATTTCTCACTTTCACAATCACGTGGAACACTTTTCAGAACAAATAAAATATTTTTCAAGACTCAGATAATTCAAGTCAGTTTCAACTATGATTTAAAACAGTTACTGGAATCACCAGTTAAAAAAGATGCCCAAATACAGTACATCTCCTTAATGTTTTTATCAGCATCATAAATTAGCCTGGGTTAACAGAAGTACATACTGTATATATGCAGTTGGAACTGCAGGATCAACAACATAACTCAAATAACTAATAATGAATAATACAGTGAAACCATAATTACTAGTAAATACACATGAAAAGATAAAGTTTAAAGAGGGAAGAAAAATGTCGAGAAAGAGAAATGTTGATGGTCTCAGAGACTCTAATGGATTTGGGCAGTGACTTCCACAAATTGCATCCAAACAGACTCTTTCACCCTGTATGGAGCCTGATCTTTGGCAGAGTAAGAAGGTCTGAATCAGCACATCTCAGATTAAAAGCTGGACACTGCTCATGCAATAAGTGCTTAAGATAACCTGGAGCTAGACTGTTCAGTGCTTTACACATGAGCAGGAGACCCTTAACTTCTGCTTCAAATTTCATGGGGAGTCAGTAGAACATGCAGAGCAAGGAGGTACAGTGTACAGTATGTACTGTACAGTAAGACAAAATATCTTACATAAAATCTTGTCCAAGTTTAACTTAAAAAGTTGCAATGGCATCATCATAATAAAAAAGACAGGTTTCTTTTAGCTAAAGTTTGCTTTCTGTTAGATTTCTGTTGCTTGTTACACAAATAATTGAAGAACTTTGGCACAGATACTAACAGGTCACAAATGACACGGATTACAATATTAATGCTGTTTGACAATAACAGTAATTCCCTACACATCAAAACTTTGCCTTAGAACATTTTTCTTCTTCTTCTAGTTATTCAGAAAAAGGATCTTTTTTCACTAAACACAAAATTATTTAGATCATTCTTTACATTATTAACCACATTTTGGCTTGCGTCTGACTGTTTTAGTGTAAAAGGAATCTAATTAGATTTCTGTGATTCAGCATGTCAGCCAGGTTGTGCACTAACTGACAGATGGGCTCCCTGTTGTAAACTTCTCTGTCTCTGCATCACCATAAGTCTTGCAGCTTGCTCAGCAGATGCACCATGCAAAAAGAATATAGATTACTGACATTAACAAAGGAGGCAATCATTAAGTTTGATCTACTTTCACAAGATGTAGAGGTACTGTACTCTCTCTTCTGCACCCTCTTTACCCCAAATTCATGTACAAGTATACACTCATCTTGAGCACCCATGATAGTACAGTCAGTCCTCCAGATAAAGGCATACTGTCTAGCTGAGTTTCACAGTTGAGTCTATATAGAATTAGCATCTACAAATCTCCTGTCAAAAGGACTGCCAGACAGGCTGGCAGTATCTACATTAATGCATCCCATCTCTTCCTATGCAACTCTATAAAGAAAACAAAGGTGATTTATTTACACCATATAAGTAAAGATTACAGAGATGTTAAATGAACAATTCCACTTTTACCACATATTTCTCTAGGCACTATTTATATGATGGCTGTACAATGATGTCCAGAAGCAAAGCAGATTAGACGAATAGAGTACTTCAGTTTCTTTTTAAAGTGACTATAATTATCTCATCCCCAGCACTAGATAACGATGACAACTTGAAATTATCTTAGTGGGTTACGAATGCATTGCATTAACATGGTCTTACCTCCATTATTATTCTAAATTTAATAGTCCAGTACAGATGACTCAATTTCTATCAATAATACATGACTCAGGTCCTCAGGGTGGCTTATTTTAATTTCATCAGTGCCTCAATTAATTCAAACTAAGTATATTTAACTAATTAATCTCCCAGTTTTAACCAATCTTCTGGTATCTAGGGCTGCTGACTGATTCCAGAAGTCTAAACTACTACTATATTTCTAATCAGTTGAAAAGGTAATAAAATACAAGTCCTTGCAGCAGCAGAATCTAGACAGGTGGAGTAAATACGGCATAAATCTGTATGAATACTGTATGAGGTTTAAGTGAATATAATGTGTTGAAATACTACAGAGGCCTTTGATGATGACTATAACAATGGTTATTTCAATGTGTGCATTTATGAATTCATGATTTATGAATGTTTATGATCCAATTCTTACTACACTGATGGAAATATTAAGAAATGTTAATATATTTAATATCATAAACTGAATAATATTGCACTGATGTTTTAAGAAAATAAACTTTATACAAGTTGTTAGAATGCTATTCTTGTAATAGAATTATATACTACCTTAGAAGAATGATTTAAAAAATGTGTACGTTTCCCAAAAACAAAGTTGGTCCAAGCTGCTTTAATGTCACCTTTTGTGGGTATTTCAACACTTTTATGAACATTAAAGTGACACCTGACACCTGACACCGGCATTGACACCTGAAGAAGGCTTCACAGCCGAAATGTTGTGTTTTCTCTCTTCTCTTTTCAGCATGGAATAAACCTATTACTAGTTCCTTTGCAGATTACGCATGCTGAAGCAGCTACCCACCTGAATTACTTTTATGAGAATGATTCCATTTTCCTAAATATAACAGAATCAAAAAGTAATTGTTGCATTTAGGACAGAGAAACATACAATCTTAGAATGCTACATGACATTTGTAATGATAAAGCCTTATTTGAAATGTTAGCTGAGGTATCCGTCTCTTTACCTTTCTAATAAAACATACATAGCTGTAGCTAAATTGCCAGAGTATTACTTATTCTCTGTTGTCAGTTAAACCAATGAGAAGTATTAAGGTTATTATAAAGCCAGATACGCTTATAACAGTAAGCTCTCTGGTCCTGGTAACAGTATGATTTCTGTGTTTTTATATATTTTTAGAATTTATGAAGCATTGTATGAAACAATAGGCTAATTATTTTTTGCTGTAGTGGAATAAAACATAAGCATTCTAATATACAATTACACTAAGTGAACTTGTCTTAACAAGAAAAAAAAGAAAATCCCAGGATATAGCGTGTTTGAAAGTTCCACAAAACACAAATATTTCTACTATCTCTACTGAAATCATTCTGAGTGTACGAAAGCATCAGATCAGTCTGTTTGGACAGAGAAAACATTGGCTGAGAGATAAAAGGAGACAAAAGAATAATCTGTGAAACAATATCACAAAGAATACATGGTACAGTGCTACTGATTTTTATTTGCGTTATAGTAGGCTGTCAAGCAAAATAAAGACAAACACAGTTTAAATAAATAAACTGGGGTCTCCAGAAAGGAGCCTTGTGGAACACCTCAAAAAGATCAGTCAATATTAAGATGCTTCTCTGAGATACAGTTGATTGATTTCTGCTTCCTAAGATCCATTAACTAATAGTAACTTATAGTACCAAGGCACCACTATGGACGCATCACAATAGAGTTGTATTATTATCTGTTTGAAATAAACACTCAAGAAGTTCTTTCCACATTCTGAACAGTGATTTTATATATGCTCAATTCATAACTTTTTACATCCTATAGTAATACACAAATGTACATTCACAAAGACTGTGATAGGAATATTGTTGGCTTAATGCGTACATAGCTCTTTATTACTTTTAAAAAATAATAATATACATTTATCAATCAACATATACGTTTTTTATATGAAAAAGAGAACTACTAAGTAAAGATTACTTTACCTTAAGCCATACAACACTGTTCCATCTGGATGCAGACGTATCATTCGGTTTTTAACTGTAACACCATGAACAAATGACTTTTTGTCATTTAGGAAATAGGTGTCAGGGACCCAGAGCTGATCTGCTACCCTGTTGTCCAGTGTGAGATTTAGAGGAATCTCAGAATACGACAGCCGTTTATCTCTCCACGCTTGCTGGAAATACATTGTCAATGTATAGTCCTGGAAAAAAAAAAGATAAAAATAAAAAGCAAGTTAATAAATGTTTTGGATTTTCAACAGTACAAAATACTATTCATACTCACGTTCCCCAGGATTTTGTAGAGCTTTTCAAACCTGCTTTGGTTTTAAATGATCCAACTTCAAAGCCATGAGATCACTTCAGGTAAAGAGTTGCTGAGTCCTTGAAAGCATGTATTGTGTAACTAATCATTTGGGATGTTACCATCTCTATATACAGTATAATAACTTATTGTGTTTTAGACAACTCAGCACTGAATCTGAGTGCATAAAAGGCCAGGAATCGCATTATATACTTATTTAAAACCAGGTTATAAATAGCCTTCAAGGACTCTAAAGTGAGAGACTGCACAAGAGCAAAGAGACCACTAAAAACAGATGCGCTATGAATATTAATAACCCCATTCACACTGGAACTATATTTGAGTATGAATGGCTTGTTTTATTTGAAAAATATATTTTTTTGCCACTAAAACCCTTGGTTACATATGGCTTTAGATATGATACATAAAAATGTCTTTCTTTACACTGACTTTTAGATAAACTGTATGCATATCAAAGTGTTATCGGACTGCATGATTGTGTATCAGGTATGTATGACATTTATTTTTCTATACAACAAATGATTCAGAAATGTAAATGTGTCCTATTTTCATCTCTTATGGCAAAAAAAGAAATCTGTTATTTTATATGTACTTCACATAACCATGAAGTGAACCATGCATGAATTACTTTGTCAGATGTTCTGATTGCATGGTTGCATGATATAATGATAGAGTACAGCTTTACAGTACATCTTTTTTAAGTAAAAAGGGCAACTGTCTCAGTAGTTATAGGAAATAACTGGAACAAATAAACTTACTGAAGAGAGTACAATTGAACAACACAGCTGTTATAATAATGTAACATGCTACATATCAGTCTGATCTATTTTCCTGAAACCTCTACCTTTTATTTGTGAGGCAAGTCAGAAATAAATTACTCAATTAGTAAAGCATGTAGAAGCAGCACCCCATGAGTCAGTGGCATGGATATACCCCTAATGTAACTAATAGCCACTGTTTATGTACCTGAATAAAGATGTGCTGTCACACAAAACCTTAACATGTCTTAATTATTTACAAACAAATATTACCAATGAAGTGCTTGTTGAAAGTAATGGTTGACGCACAAATTGTAGTTCTGGGCCCTGTGCTAGAAATCATTTTTCTATGTGGTGGTACATACAGTACAGTTAAGGAATTACATCTTGCATTTAAAGTGTGTGCTGCAACAATGAAATGTATTATGCTGGAACATATTAGGATGTATATTTCAAAATTTAATTCGGTAAACAATACACAAAGCTTTCTTAATGGGAGCATCCGCTTAGTAATCCAAAATCCATTTATAAAAAAATACTAGTAAAACAAAAATGCATTTGAGGAAAAGCCTTGATGTAAAATATTTAGGAGGCAAAGTATTTATCAAACCCAAATGACCACACAAAGAAAAAAAGCTTAAAGTATAATCACTAAGCCATGAAAAATCAAATTTGACAGATTACTGGTAGTCACACACATGACTTTTCAGTACATTTATCATTTCTGCTGTTATGAGTATCAGAACATCAAAACAAAACAAAAAAAAACAGATTAACTATAGGGATTAAACCATTTCAGTGTCTAAATACAGTGTACGTGTTTGATTTTTGATGTGTTTACAGATATAGACTTTAGAGTAGACTATATTAATATCTGCCAGCTTCTTCAACTCCTGGGAAATCTTTGATTGAAGTTGGTTCACATCATCCTTAATATGTACAGTACATAGAGCTTAAATTTTTCAGTGTTCAGTTTTTCTCACAACACATATAAATATGTCAGCAGCACTGTTTCTCATATCAAATAACTATTTCCATGACAACCACTGCAGCAAAACCATGCTGGTATCCTGTTTAAAAGCTGAATCTAATTGATCATTCAATGAATGAATTAAATCATTTCATAGCACTTAATTAATATGGCATTTTAACTTTTGAGCAAATGTTTAAATTTTTATATCAAGGAAATGAAGTTGATTAGATTACACTATTCATTATTGTTAGATTCATAACAATAAGCCATCAAACAAATTAGTATGTTTGCTTTTTTTCCATAATGGGATCATTAAAAACAGGTGGTAAATTTCAAACTAAATACAGTGTTAGCAGCATTAATTGTAGTTATGCCTGTTTTTAATTGACTACAGTACTCTGTTGTAGATGACAATATTACAATATTGTAAAATATTACAATATTTTCTTAATATACAGTATGACTATTTAAAATGTTTCTTTAATTTCCGTTTTGCTTGTTTATTTGGAATATCAAATCATGTCTGAATTTCTTTTTATACTTAGTGACATTGACAAAAGATTAATAACTGCAGCAACACCAAGCAAAAAACAAAACAAAACAGATCACAGCAAACATCAGACATTTCACCTTATTCACCAGGTGAAACCCTGATATGTATACCCCCAAGTCAGAACTGTATGTTTGAGAGGAAAAATATTGCAACTACATACTGTTTTCTACCAATTTCCAGCAGAAAATGTGATAATGAAGAAGTACAGTATGTCATAAAGGTGTCAAGTATAACGCCAATACTTCTTGTGTTTGAAATACAATTTGTAATAAGGCAAAAAAATATGATCGTAAGTCAAAATAATATATTGTTCACATTTTTAATTGGGTGAAATCTTGCTTTGTAAGTAAATGACAAACACAGTTCTTAACCTGAAGGTGCTGTCAATAAACTAATTTTAAAGTGTTAAATATCTGACTTCTGTCCATAACCATGTAATTGATCATCAGAAGGAATGACTTACTATTAAGTTATTTTCACTGTATTGATATTTTCTTCATTTATTACTGTTTATATGGACATTATACATTAATTATTATCCCTATTCTGAAATATAAGCAATATCTTTCTGCTTCCTCACAGGTTAGTTTCTGCTTGACTGAATTGAGGAGGTCCTCACTGTTAACAGTTAATGAGTGGGCACAAAAGCCAGTTGCACTCCATTAACCACTACAAGTAATGAATGGCAGGGGAACACCAGGCACAGAAGATGAAGGCATGTCTCTTCATTTGAAGAGCTACAGGAAGAGGGATGTAAATTCTATTTTTAACAGGTCATCTGCACCTAAACGAGGATGGGTACTCTTTTAAACTTGTTGTATTAGCCCTAAAACTTTCCAACTGGGAGATGAGCACAAACATACGGGAGTACAATCCATATTAAACATCATTATTCAACAACACATCTACGGCAATGAATGGGTTTCTTATAAAGACAGTCATTTTCAGAGGACAGAGCTTCCAGTATTATAGCATAATAGCAGTTAAACTATCCTTTTATTGTAATGAGATGAAAGTGCTACTCCAAGGTGTCCAGCCATTTCTTTTTTGTTCCTGCAGTTTCTCAGCTAGCTGCATAGAGTACATGTTTTCATTTTACTCAAAAATTTCTCAAATCCTTGCAGACCTTTTAATGATAATGGGATTTTCCCTTGTTTGCCTTCAGTTCAAGCCTTGCTTGAGATCAGGGCTTATGTCCAATAATCCAATGTTACATTAACACACATTTTGAAAAAGATACATGTTGAAAAGTGTAATTCTTCACTTCTCTTTTTTACTTATTCAATATACTTATTCAAGTTACACTGACTTTTAAATAAGGCATTTCAGCTAATGACAGAAAGAGAATATATAAGATACAAAATTAATTTACACCCTAAACAGGTGCAATTTTCTTTTTAAAACTTTGTTAACTCAGTCCTATCAGAGCACATTTAAACAGCCATAATTAGCTGAAATGACACCCTTTAACTCCTTTTAATAACACTGTCTGAACAGCAGAATAATTTGGTGAAAACTATTCGGAAGTATTTCAGGAATATCTCCAAGAAGTGCTAATTGTCATTCACACCATTTTATTTTGATGCTAATGAGTGACTATTTATAGAAGATCTGTTAGAAGCTTTTTGACACAATTGATATGAAATCTGAAAAAAAACAAGAAAAACTATGAAAGTGCAGTCAATAGCATTGCATTAATATTTTTCATATACTTGTAGAAGAATAATGCTGAATGTCACACAGTTATCATAAAATAGAGATTTAATTTTGTATTCATAACTTTTACCAGCATGATCAATACACATCATCATAAAAGCCCCAAAAGAATGTATTTTATATATTCTGTTCGTGATATACAGTTGACCTGGTAGAAACAGAGGATATTTTATGTAACACACAAAGTGGTATGTTAAGTGAAATCAATAAATAATTAAATTGGTAAGTAAAAGCAACTAGCAGTTTCAGTTTACTAATATGGAATCATCATAAATCAGAACAATTTACAAATCTAATAAAGTTATATTATAATCATTACTGCATTGCATAGAGCAAAGTCATATTTGTTAAAAATAATTAATTGAATTCTAGAAAACAAGAGATACGTTTATTCACACATAAGTCTTCCTTTAAAAATTAATCAAAACTAATCTACAGTAACATTCTGCTCTTTGGACGTGCAAAGGAAGCTTCCATAAACCCAACAGAGGAATGTTTTTTGACTGTTCCTTATCTGTTGAATCATATCATACAGTATGCCTGCAAAGTCTGCCACTCGCCACTCTTCCACCTGCAAAGCATATCTCCTTTAAAACCATTTTTTTCTATTACTGAAGCCGGGAAATTAGTTCATACATTTATGTCCTCAAGGTTAGAATACGGCAATAGATAGATAAGACTTTATTAATCCCGTAGGGAAACTGATGTGTTACAGCAGTCCAGCCCAAGACAAGCAAAAAGACATCAGAATAGTTATAAAACAAAAGACAGTAAAATAAGTATAAAATAAATAAATTAAAAATAAATACATAGGTGTGTGCAAAATGTGATGATCATAGTCACTGTAAAAACAATAAAATATGTGCAAAATGTGCATT